CTAACAAGTTAAAAGTACATGAGTCAAAAATTAAAAAGCAATAATATTCCAAGTAGAGGTTCTAATATTGGCATAAATCAAGTTACAGAGGGAAGGTGGTTCTTACAATAAAAGGCCTATTGACTAGCACTTTGTCTATTATAGTGTAGAGGTTAGGAACCTCAAGATGCAGAGGCTCAGCTATGTCATTTACTGTTCTTAAGTTCTGGAGCAAATTCCATCTACCACTGGGTTGTTTTACAACTTGGAAGTCCACATGCAAGGTAGAGGTGAAGTAAGGAACTGCTTCTGAGGATTTCCGTCCATTTCAACAACTAAGAAATAGTGAGAAGAGTTGGGACCTCAGAAGGCGTTTAGGACCAATTAGTAGGCTCTGTGTCCAGGAGAAAACGAATATGCTTACCAGTAATGTTAATGCTCACCCACAGCTCTTCTGGGAGGATCTAAATCGTTGAAGTGTCCTCCTTTGTTTCCAGCTGGGAGCTGGGGCCTGTCAGTCCTGTCAGCCACGAGGACCTCATGCGGGCCACCATTGGCCAAGTGTCCTTCAGATCCACACTTAAAGCAAGTGAGTGGGAGCTTCCTCTCTACTCCCTTCCCTATCTGTGGCTCTTGTCTGTGACATTGTCTGCTGAAGTGGCCCAGCTTTCCACAGTGGAAGCAATTCTGACCTCCTTTATTACCTTTGGGTGGCACTGTATATGAGTAAGACTTCCTTTTCCTGACACAGGCCCTAAACTGGCAGCAATAGCTGCCCCAATAATTTTGGTCATTCTCTGGTCTTTTCTCTTCCCTCTAGATCACAGTTGTTAAAAGAGGGAAAGATTTAAACAAATGTATAACAAATAATTTTGAACATTATAATCTTTTAAACTTAAGGTTAGAAATATTAACAATATCATCATTTCCAATCCATAGATACATGTTCCAATGCAGTTCCTATTTTCCATAAGTGGTTTTGGTAAGAGGAATGTTGTAAATGTGGATACATTTCCAATATTCCTCTTCCATGCCACAATATAGTGTTATTAGCATGAGCGGTTATAAATCCATTGTCATCCTTACTCTAACTTCTTTTTAAAAAAAATTAAATTTGTTATTAATTTCAGTACAAATTTACAGAGACTTTGGATTTCCATTCATTCATTGTTGCACATTTGTCTCCTCCCAAGGCTCCCCCAACCCCAGAACACTACCCTCGTGGAGAAGTAAAAGAAAAATTCTTTCATTGTTTTACAAACCCTCCCCCAAGTCCACTCCACCATGTAGCCATTGCTCTAGACTCCTGTCATGACAGAAATACCTAATCATATATCTCTTTTAAACAGTTTTCTTCCTCCTCTGTTTCAGTGCAGTATACATTATTGAACCCATCTTACTCAGTCTCTCCCTAACCCCAAGGTCAGTCCTGTTTTACAGCAGTGGCACCATGCAATATTTGTCCTTTTGTGGCTGTGATATTTCACTCAGCACAATGTTCTCCAGAGTCAACAATTTTGAATAATATTGCATGAGTTCCTTGTTTGTCAATGCAGCATAGTATTCCATTGTGTGAATATACCACAGCTTCTCTTTTTATTTAAAAGAAATAAAAAAAATAAAGATAGTACATGGTCCCTGTTCCATAAATATCAGTACTTTTCTTCCCTTTTGAAAAGTCCAATAAGTTTTACATACTCTCTTTTCCTCCAATTTCTATTCGATATAAAATGAGTTTGCTAAGAAGGCATTTTACAGGCAAAAATCTCGCTTTTTTATTTGTTTTTTATCTTACCAGTAACAAACATATTACTTGAAATAATTAGACGCTCACTAAACATTTATATATTACTGCGTTGAAGTAACACGTTTCTCTTTTTTCCCATCTATAAATCAAAATGGATTCATTTAAAAAATGGAGAATACAAACAAGGCTGACAAAAGTAGTAATACCCTACCATCAGAGAGAATTGTAAAAAGCGTAATCTATTTTCTAGTCATTTTATAAAACATACAATTAAAAAGATCACATCTACCTTTATGCATAGACACTGTCATCAATGTTACTTCATAACATTACATTTAACGCTACTTACTAAAAAAATTAAATGTACAGATATTAAAATAACAACATGAATTTGTCTCTCAGATTCCAAAATTCACCTGGCTGGTTTGAAATAAGCACATCTGGCAGCATGAGTAATTAGGTGAGGCTAGCTGTACAATAGCAATACTATCATTCTGGAGCAGCTGCAGAGTAATGTCATCAGCAGTTAATAAAGTACTATCCAGTGTCAAAGCTGACCACAGTACTCAATTTAGAAATATTGATAAGTAGGTAGTTTCTTTTATTTTTATTGTTAGTTAAGTGTAAGTTTATTAACCATATTGGTTTTTCAACCATTCCTACATGTTTTGTTGCATATGATAAATTAATGTCAACTGATATAATTAATTAATAACAATGCTTGCTACTTAGGCAATTTTTGAGACTTCAGCAACTTCACAGGATGGTGGAGAGAGTGTATAAGGCTGACTTATTTCAAGGACTAGGAAACTGTAGAGCAAAAGTAAGGAAGAGAAAGGCCAACCTTGCTGCAAGTACAGGATTACCAACAAACGAGGAAAGCTTTCAGCTAGCATTTCTCAATGTATTCTTCAGAAAATCAAACCAGCTTTCCCTGACTCTTAGGAACATTCTTTCCCTCTCGTACTCAAAAGTATGAGTTTCTCAAAAGAAAGTCTCATCATGAAAGAGAGGTACCATAAAATTCCATTTATCATCATAGCAGTCATAACGATTAAAGAAAATCTCACTGCCCCAGTGATTTATTTTTCTAAAGTATTAAATATAAATTAAAACACTGGAACAAAAATGCCTCAAATTAATTTATCAAACTGAATCTCTGAAAAATACAAAGAATTAGAAGTTTAAAATTTGTAATAGTTTAAAAAAAAAAGATATGTAATAGTTTAGGGAAAATATAAAATTACCCCTCATGTCTGACTATAATGTGAATGACAAATTACTTCATTTCCATATCTCTACAAGTGTTTGAATGGGATGCAAAATTTAAGGAAAAGCAACAGAAGGCGCCTCACCTGCTTGGAGAGGAGCTCCCTGCAGAGCCTGTACAGAGTGACGTACTTTCGGGCTAAAGAGCGTGCATCCACGAAACCTTCAGCAACCAGCATGATTTCACAGATTAGCTCAATGTCAGGGGCCACCATAGCACAGGGTCTAAAAATGAAATACAAAAGTTAGCTTTCAAATGCAGTAAGGTAAGAAGTAGAAATTGTCAAAATGAAGTGCTTACTTTGTACCAACATCCCAGCTGTTCCCAAGGAGGTCACAATTACCTCTGTCAGTTACAGCTAACCAGAGCTTTCACTGCAACTGAAAAATGTCCAATTAGTTACTGGAGGAAATGAAAAAGATGAAAAGTCTAAAAAATGGAAGAAGTCCTGGTAAGAGTTTATAGAAAATCTGTGAGGACATTCTACAAACTTTTGTACAGAAATATGAGAGGTTATATTTTATAGTAGACACTAGCCTTCCCTGTGTTCATTGGCACACTGGTAAAAGCTAGCAGTCTCTCTCTCAAAAAAAGTGTCCGCTGACTGCCATGGTAAATACTCAGCTACCGACATGAAATCACTAGCGACAGAACTGGAAAGACATGGGCATAACTTTGCTATTTTTAGGTGCTGTCACATCAGCCACAACCCATAGTAGCACTAACACAATAGAATGAAATCCTGCCTGAGCCAGTACCATCCTTAGAATCCAAATATACCCCTAAGCCCATCATTGCAGGCACTGTCTCAAACCCAACTGAGGGTCTTCCTCTCCTTAGATGATGCTCTGCTCTTCCAAACAAGATGTCTTTTACCCAGGACTAGCCCCTCCTGATAGCATGCTCATTTTTTTGTTTACCTCATTTCTTTTTTTACTTTTTAAAATTTTTAATGGAAGTTTACAGAGACTTTGGACTTCCATTCACTCATTGTTGCACTTTTCTCCCTGCCCAACCTCCACCCCACACACAGTTTGCCCTTCTCTTTGAAAAGCAAAAGGATTGTTATACAATCCTTCCACCCAATTCCGCTCCACTATGCAACCTTCAACATCCTCATTTCTAAGGAGCATTTTACTCTGGCTACACTTTTCTTCCAAGACAAATTTGTGTGTTGGTTCTTTTTTTTGTAGTCCATGATATATTCAATATATTTTGCCATTACTACAATTCAAAGACATTGACTGACAATCAAACCAAACTCACTGCTGTTGAGTTAAATTCAAAGCCCATTAACCCTTCATTGGATTTCTGAAGCTATAAATCTTCTTGGATGGAGGTTGCCTATCTATCTTCCTCAGAGTTACTTCCTCAGAGTTCCAACCATCAACCAATTGTTCAGTGAGCAGTCTGATATATTATGCCTCCAGAGTTCCTCATAAATAACTGAAGAGTGTGAATATTAGTAAAATTTAGTAATGAGGAATTAATTAGTTTTAAGTATTGATTATTTTTATTCTTAACAGTGGATTTAATGAAAAGTTTATATCATGTTTCATAATGACAAAGTTTACAAACATCATCCAAAAATTTCTAAGAATTGAACCATCAGCTGCTGAAAAAGATCAGTCATTTCTACTCTGCTACTGCTTAGAGCCAACTCAGATATACTTCTAAGAGGAATATTTAGAAAAAACAAGGCTTTCAAATCTTTCTGTCCCACCTCCAAAATGCGACCCTCCAGTGATAACTGCCATTGATGCCAATGTTTTAAAGCATTCCACTCTATTGAAGTACAGTACAAAATCAGCATCACTTGTGTTTACCATCACAGTAACCATGAGTTACAAATTACAGACCAGTGCTATACTACTTAGAAGAATGTTTGACTGAAAACAATTAAAATCAGGCCCAAGGGCCACAGGCTGGAGGGCCCAAATGCCTTTTTAAATGCCAGACTAAATCCAATCAGCTCACATTCAATTGCAGCAACAGCCCCACCCAAGCCTCAGCCAAAACAGAAAACACACCTTTGTAGAATCCAGCTGCCTCCTCATCTTCCTGAACTTTAAAGCAGTCCCAAATTGGCAACCAAATGCCTTTTAAAATGAGTCTAAATCCAATCAGCTCACACCCAAATGTGAGCAACAGTCCCATGCAAACCTCAGCCCAAACAGAAAATACCTTTGTAGAATCCAGCTGCTCCATTCATCTTTCCAAATTTTAAAGCCATTAAACCTCCATTTTTAACTATATATTTGAATAATATTTGTTGGGCCAGGTTTTGTAAGTACAATTATAGTTTCATTTACACCATATTAATTTTTCACCTAAATATTCCCCAGAATCCCCTTGAATCTAGTTATTGAAAATCTCTTATACCTGGGCTAGCTCTGTAATTTCTACTCACATTTATTTTACTCTTTATCACATGACAGAGGTAAAGAGGAAGAGAAAACATAGCAAAGACTAACAAATTTATTTCTTTTTACTTGTATTCACAATGACAACAGATATTCACTGAACATTTATTTCCTATTGTGAGAATCCCTCAAGGTGTAGCATGTTACATGTAGAGCTGCTAACCCAAAGGTCATCAGCTGGGAGCCAGCAGCAGCCCCACAAAAAAAAAAAGCAGTAGTCTCTTCCCATAAAGATTTACTGCCTCTGAAATCTGAAGCAGAGTCATCAGGAGTCAGAATCAACTTAACCACAGTTGGTTTGGTTTTTCATTTTATACCATCAAGGGTGCTAGAAGCTTTTCCTGTACTCTTTTCAATTAATCTTCACAAAGCAATATAGTAACTACTCTTAGCTATGTTTTATAGAGACAGAGACTGAGATTCGGAGAGGTTAAAACAGCATGTCCTATATGGACATAAAAGAGCTCTGGTGTGTTACAGAGGAACAAAAGGGGGTTCCAATGCCAACCCCAATGCCATGCCTCTCGGGCAGTTAAAATTCAGTAGTATCTCCAGGATTTTAGCTATAGTCAAATCAGCAATAAAACATAGCCAATGACTGATATGCTCAACAACTTGGATGGATTTCAAAACCACTATGTTCAAGGAAAGAAGCCAGATGGAAAAGAGTACATATTGAATGGTTCTATTACACGAACTCCAGGAAAATCCTCTCATTACTGTCGACTCGAAACCATCTCAATGTTTCCCCTCCCCAGTTTCTGAGGCTTTAAATAGCATGGGAGGAGACTGCCCATTTTTCTCCTAAAGAGCCACGGAGGAATCTAAATCAGCAGAGAGATGTGGTCCTAGGGCTAGCAGTGCAACTCTTGATGGATTAGGTCAATCTAGAAAAGATGTATGTAATCCACAGTCAGAGAGACTACGTGTGAGAGCTTAAAGTCAAACAGCAACAGAGGGCTTCTTGGGGATGTAGAAAGAGTCTTTATTTTTATTTTGGTGCTATTTTCACCAACTGCAGTTTTTTACATGTGTATATTTTATTGTATTAAATTATGCATGAATGAAGTTGATGTTTAAATGCAAATTAGTCAAAACTTGTAAAAATGCAGTAACACAAAATATCTTAGGAATTGCTAGTAAGTGCATCCATTGGTAGCAAGCATCTTTGGAAATCAGGTCAGCAATAGGTATTAGAATCTTCCAACTAGTAATTAAATGTATTCTAGAGTACACATAGCTCTTCATAAATAGATGTTTATAGCCTGCTATTTTGTTATCACAAAAAGCAAAAAAGAAAATTTACATGTCACACAGTAGTCAATGCTTTAAAAAATAGGAAATAGACATGAGTTGGATCATTTTGGATTATATAACATGATCTTCCCAAATGATTTTTAATAATGTGATGAACTGCTTACCTAAAAACGCTAAATAAAGATAATTAAATGAAAAAAATCTGTGCACAGTAAGATTTTAACTTCATTAAAACAAGCTTTATAAGCAAATGTAGAAAAAGTACAATAAATCATTATTTCTCTGTATTTGTTTCCTTTAACTCTTTATAGTTTTCAATTATTCATATTTATTACAAATTATGTTTGTAATAAAAACATCTTTGCAAAAGAATTATTATGAAATACTCAGACATAACATGCAAAAATAATTTTATTTCTTTTGCCGCTCTTGAGAATATAGAGAGCAAACCATGCACCAATTCAGCAGTTTCTATCTGTACCATGAGACATTATGCACATTATTCCAATTGTGTAACTATTCTCATCCTCCTTTTCAAGTTGTTCTTCCTTCACTGATACAACCTGGCTTCCCCCCTAAGTTTCCGGTCTGACCTTTCCTGTGTTACTTTGATTCTGTATAGACAGTTCCTTTAAAAAAAATGGTTTGCTTACAAAGTTCATATAAGTTGTGTTTCACACTATTCCTCATTCATATTGTGTTTCATGCAATACATGAGACAGTCTTAAGAAGCATACTGCTCCAAACAGACACTTGTAACTATGTAAGCTAAACCATTGTTTGGTCTCAAGACCTCAGGGGGTAATTTCAGCTTCAGATTTAAAGATTATCTCAGGGCAATACACACAAACTGCATGTTATTGTTGTTGCTGGGTACCATGGAGTCAGAATTGACCCATGATTGACCCTGCAGCAGATTTTCAGAGATGGTAAATGATTCAGGAGGAGAATGCTCATCTTTCTCCCATGGAGCAGTTGGTGGATTCAAACCAGGAATCTTTGGGTTGGCAGCACAATCCCTTACAACTAGGCCACCAGAACTCCCTCAACTTGCACGGCTACATGCAACTTTTAAACATTGATTCCAAGCCTTAATTTCATAATTCAGAAAAGGTTAATTTACGGCAAATGCTCTCTCTTGAAAAAGATCTTGGAGAGAATTATGGGGCCTAAATAAGGGGCCTTTCCCTCACTGGAATGCCAGAGCGAAGCAAATCATCCAACAGTGCACACTCGCAACGTTAGGTGGCATGAGCGCTCCAGATGCAGAGTCGCAAAGCGTAATACTTGCCTGAAAAGAGCTTTGAGATTTTCTGGTAATTCTGTGCGACCAGCATATCCTGGGTTCATCGTAATAAATATTCCGACTGAAGGCTTCAGTGTGATCGCTTCCCCAAGAAATACAAATCTACCAGAAACAGAATGTTGATGAAATTAAATGTGTTCATGGAATCTGAATGCGCAGTGACAAATGCATGCCACTGAAAAATGCAAATTATTATTAGGAAGCTGTTTATTCTGTGTAATTTTCTTGAAAATTCACAAGGAAACAGTCCAAATATGTTTTGGAGAAGGTTTATTAAATATACTTTCCCTTTCCTCCCCCAAGGAATTACAAATGTGAAGCATCCTTTTTCTATTTAAGCATTGCCATTGTATGCTTGAATACAAAAATGAGGTCTAAACTAATTTAATATTTAAAGAATGATGATAGCTTTTTCACCTTCAATGTGGGCTACAGTTACTGTGTAGAGAATGCCTGTGATAAGAGGAGAAGCAATTCCCTCTCCAGTCTTCATCTGTCCCTCCTGCCTTTGAATCTCCTTCCTTTCTTCCCTTGCGCTCTGTCTACCCTTTCTTTCCAATCCTTTATATCACTCATGCCAAGTAAGTATCTCTGAATGGCACAATAGTATAGTGGTTTTGAGAACTGGCTTGGAAGTCAGACAGGAAGTGGTTCAGAGGCCAGTTAAATATCTTTTGGTTAATCAGCTTCTTTATGCTCTAATTATCTCATAATTTTAATAAAATGTTAATATATAATATATCCACCTTATTTGGACTACAGAAGCCCCAGTGGTGCAGCTGTCAAGCACTCATCTGTTAACTGAAAGGTTGGTGGTTCAAACCTTCCACCAGCTCTACTGGAGAAAGATGTGGCAGTCTAGTTTTGTAAAGATCTTAATTTTGGAAACCCTATAGGGAAATATTCTCTGTTCAGGCCTAGAGGATCACTCTGCATTAGAACTGACTCACTGGAAATGCTTTTGTTATTATTATTGGATTGTATAAATATTAAGAATGCAATGTTTAGAATGCAGTAAATATTCACAAATGTTAGTTATGACGATATTTTACCATATTATCCTTAGAAGGCACTAGAGAAATCATTCACAGAAAGATTTACAAGGGCCTAGTTTGGCTGTTGATGGCCATGGCAATGACATAGTAAAGGACTATAGAAACAAAATTGAAGGACAAGTAGAAGAAAAATTTAAAATAGGATTGAGTGAGAGAAGTTTAAGGCTCATTTCTTGTGAAGAAAGGGGAGGGCAGAAATAATGTATAATATTCAACAAACAAAATCAGTTAAGGGGCTGGGCCTACATTGCAGAATGGGAAGGAGAAAGACCGAGAGAACTAAACTACAAAATCCAGAATCAAAAGCTAATAGTTAATTAAGAACCAACTGCAGTCACATTACTTTGACTCATGGAAAACCCATGAGTACCAGAGTAGAATTGTGCACATAGGATTTTCAGTGACTAGATTGATTCAGTGACTGGGATAATAGGGATGGGAGTGTCAGAGACAGTACGATTGGCACAGGACAGAGAAGAGTTTAGGGTTGTGGTACATAGGGTCGCTATGAGTCACAAGCGACTCGACGGCACATAACAACAACAACAACAATTTTTTTTTTAGAATTAAACCACCACGCCTTTCTTCCAAGGTACCTCGGGATGAACTTGAACTTCAAATCTTTCAGTTAGCAGTTATTTGCTCTGTCTTTCACACTATTCACCAGCTTGAGCTAATTAAGAGAAGGAGGATTTTATATACTCAAGATAAGAATACAGAAATTGTCTTTCACCAGAATGTTAGGGTAGGGAGATAGGCATGCCTGCACCCAAGAACAGAGGTATCTACTGCGCAGAGTCACTGACTGTTGCATATGTAGCAAGGGGGAGCTACAAGTCAAAGGCATGGACTTGGCAGTTAAACAGCTAGCAACCTGTTAATAGATTTATGGGTGAGATAAAGGCCTATCCTATAAATCTACAAATTTAGAGGAAATATAATAAATTCAAACTCATGAAGAAGCCTAAATATTTGCACATGGGGTATACAATGACTAAGAGGTTTGATCATATATATATATGCATAACTGTAGACAAAGAGACCAGCAAGAGGTGTGGTTGATATTGGTGGTAACCAAGAGTCAGGGGAAGAGGGGAAGAGGGAGAATGGATGCTATTGGTAGGAAGAATTAAGAATTTGTTAACAAATGAATAGAGAAGCTGTGGTATATTCACACAATGGAATACTATGCTGCATTGAAAAACAAGGAAGTCATGCAATATTATTCAAAATGGGTAACCATTATGCTGAGAGAAGTATCTCGGTCACAAAAGGACAAATACTGTATGGTGCCACTGTTGCAAAATGGGACTGACATCAAGGTTAGGGTGAGACTGAGAAAGATGATACAAATTATGTACACTGCATTGAAACAGATAAGGGACAGAACTGTTTAAAAGGGATACATAATTAGGTATTATTGTCATGACAAGAGTCCAGAATGAAGGCTGCACAGTGGAGTGGACTTGGGAGGAGGAACTGTATAACAATGAAAGGATTTTTCTTTTACTTTTCAAAGAGAAGAATGAACTGGGGGGAGGGGTGGACAGGGAGAAAAGTGTAAAAATGAATGAATGGAAATCCAAAGTCTCTGTAAATTTTCATTAAAATGAATAATAATTTAAAAAAGTTAGTTAAAAAAGAATTTGTAGTTATTGTAATTTTTTTATAAAATAATTATAGTTGGGTTTTAGAAATCATTACCTTACATGCAACAGTTACCTAACTATTCAAAAGGATGTCTAAAGACACAGCTGGGTTAAGCCAAATAACAATATTGACTAGAAGTTCAAAAAATGGTTGGGGTTCAAAGAGGAAAAAACCTAACTTTTCTAACATGGCATTGGGAGAGAGACAGGTAATTCGATAGACAGCTGGTCATAGGAAACTAATATCACAAGGCTCACACAATGGAAGAACTCTTAATAAGGTAGGAACTTCCACACAGGTTCATAGCTCATACAAGCTAGAAAAGCTTTCCTTGATGGACAGATTTAATGTTTTCTGAACAAGTTAGTTGGCCAAACAAAAAATATCCTTATAAAGGAGGACAATGGCAGGTCAGACAACAAATGAGGTTGCATAGTGTACACACACCCACACACACATCATAAAGAGAGAATTGTGCTGGTCACTGTAGTATTTAATTTCTTCAATTAAGCCTTCATTCTCTAAGTACCAACTGAGTTTTTCTTTTGAAGTATGGAATCATGATGCCTATGTTTATACAACTGGTTGAGGATCTTCCTCTCCTTCACTGACCATATACCTTTCCAAGCATCATGTCCCTCTCCAAGGAATAGACTGTCCTAGCAGCATGCCTGAAGTATGTGAGGCAAAGCCTCATTAGCTTCACCTCCGAAGAGCACTCTGGCTGCCCCCTCTTCAAGACATGTTGTCCATGGATGTTCAGTACTCTTCTACAACATCGCAGCTCAAAGTCATCAATTCTTCTGTCATTCTTATTCATTGACTAGATGTGATTTTAAAGGTCGTGAACTCAATTAGATGCACCTTAGTCCTCAAACTGACATCATTACTCATGGTAGTACTCTATTTCTACTGGAAAGCAAATGTTTTTGGAATGACAGGTATTTTTATTTTGTATATGTTAAGTATGAGAGGCCTGTGAAATATCAAGTGGAGTCTTGAGCCCTGACAGGGAATTGTTTATAAAAGTGTGTAAGTTCAGGGGAAAGGTCTGGCTTTAAGGTAGAAACTTAAAAAATTGGACTCTAAACCAGATGAAATCATCAATAGGATGGAGCTAGGAAAAATTCCAAAGTCTGAGTCATACAACATCTGATATTAACAGGTCAAGACATAACAATATGAATCAAAAATTAACACATGGTGGCAGGCATTTATCTAAGTGGTTTACATGTTTTAGTAGACTAAATGTCACATTACCTTGTGAAATAGATATTGTTTTTTGCTCCATTTTATAGTTGAGGAGAAACCAGCAAAGGAAAAACTATGAAGCAAGAAGAATACTTACTCAGGGAGTCCTGAACCACCATGAAGAAAATGTCAAGTAGAAAAGAGCAACTCTCAAATATCAGAGAGACCAAGTAGGACAGAGGCTGAGAAGTGACCACTGAGTTTAGCATTATGTTGCTTTTGTGGTGGTTCATAGAGTCAGAACCGACCCATAGCAGACCATCCAGTGGGTTTTCAGAGGCAGTTAATTACGTGGCAGGAGATTGCCCATCCTTCTTCCGAGGAGCAGCTGGAGGCTTCAAACTGTGTGCCTTCAGAATTATAGCGCAGCTTCTTGCCACTAGGCCACCAGAGCTCCCTTTTAGCTTTATAGAGGCCTAAAGTAATGGACTATGTTGTTATTATAGTCAACTTCCAGAGAATTAAAAAAGGAAGGTTATTATAAAGAATTCATAACCAGACTCCCTTACTGAATTCATGTCAAGAGACAGGAAGTGGTAGCAATAGCCTTTTTGAGGGACGGAGTGGAATGTATCGCATTTCATCTCACTCTTTTCTCTTTGGAGACAAGTTGGTACAAATGGTTAACAGGTAATTCTCGGCAGTTAATATGAAGGCTTAAAAGACAGATCTGGAATCTACATACAAAACTAAGTGCCCTTATAAAGGGTATTTTATTGGTTGTATGTGCTCTATGGAGCTAAGTTTCAGTCCAACACAGTTCCATCCCAACACCACCGGAACAGATTTGATGGCAGCCATCTTTTTAAAAATTTGTAATAACAGAAACAGAGACTCCACTCACCTCTTTTTCTTGTTTCGGATGGCATCGTGGATCATTTTTACTTGAACTGCCACCACTGACAGGACCTCCACAGCAATGCGATTGAACTCATCAAAGCAGCCCCAAGCTCCAGTCTGCACCAGTCCCTTATAGATGTTTCCTATGGACTAAGTGGTGGAGTGGGGCGTAAAGAATCTGACCAGTTGACAATTTTAAGCTATTAGTTGGAATCATTCTAACTTAGGAACAATGTTGTCTGAAAATATTTTATATATTGTTTTATACAGAACTTACTTTGTAGTCCATTTGCTCTGAACAGTTGAAGACATACACCATCATGCCCAGTGCTCGTCCAAGGTCTTTAGTAGTTTCCGTTTTCCCCGTGCCAGCTGGGCCAGATGGAGCCCCACTCATGTTTAGATGAAGTGACTGAGTTAAGGTAATATAGCACCTTACAGCAACAGAAAACAAACATCACAGGCTCATAAGAGACTTTGATAAAACAGAAAAATTCAACACTTTTTTTTTTAAGTTTAAAAAGTCAAAGCCTAAAACGTATGTTGTTGTTGTTGTTATGTGCAGTCGAGTCACTTGCAACTCATAGTGACCCTATGTAAAACATCCCTAAACTCAGCTCTGTCCTGTGCCAATTGCACTGTCTCTGACACTCCCATTCTGATTACCCGAGTCACTGAACCAATCCACCTCATAGAGGACCTTCCCCTCCTGCACTGTCCTTCCACCCTACGAAGCATGATGTCCTTCTCCAAGGACTGGTCTCTCCTCACAACATGTCCAAAGTATGTTAGACGGAGCCTCAGAATCCTTGCCTCCAAGGAGCCACATGGTTTAACCTGTTCTAGGATGAATCTGTTTGTTTTCCTAGCAGTCCATGGTATTCTCAATACTCTTCTCCAGTACCACAGCTCAAAGGCACCAATTCTCCTTCTATCCTCCTTGGTCATTGTCCAACTCTGGTGTATAACAAGTGATTGCAAAGACCATGGCCTGTATCAGATGCATCTTAGTCCCCAGAGAGACACCATTATAAGTAGCACAAAATATTGATATAATCTTGATTTGTTCAGGTCAATAACAAGAGTCAGCATAATATCTTAATCATATTTTAAGTTGATGGTTTAAAAATAATAGAGAAGAACAGATCATTTTGTTTAGATTAATTGTATTTTAAAGACGTGTATTTGAATGTGAATATAGCTTTGCAATAACATCTGATTTGCAATGTACTTGGATTTCTGATATTTCTAGGTCAAGAAATTACTGTTAATGGAAGATAGCACCTTATGCAATTATTTATAAAGGGAAAATAGAATGCAAATCCTGACAATGAGTAAATTAAACACTGACTTCATTAAACTGGTAATATACTGAGATGAGATATGCAAACATAAATATACTGCATGCAAATAATCTAAATTATTTTTCATGACTAAAGTGAGTAAGTATATAGGCAATTTCCTCTCTTGTCATCAACTGTTTCTGAAAAACCACTGGATGGTCAGCTATGGGTTAGTTCTGACTCTATGGTATACAACACAAAGTGAGTATAAGAAGAAATAGTTTATTACATTACAATATATTTTAAATATTTATTTTTAATATGTTGTTATATTAATTTAGATTACCTTGAGTTTTAGGAAAGACTCAAGAGTTCTTAGGCTGAGAACAAATGTGTAAAAACAAAACATAATGTTGATAAACAAGACCAAAGAAATATCAAGGAGCCCACACAGGCTGGAGTTTTTTCAGGTTTAGAAATCACTTTTGTCTTAGTACAGTCATCAGATCTAATGAAACACATCAGAAGAGGAGCTACAAGTCTTTGGGATTAGTGTCTACTTTGCCAATCATCAGATATTAAATGATCTGACATCAATATGCCTCTGTTTCCTTCGTTTTCTACTCCATAAAATGAGGCTTCATAAATTAAGTCACAAAAGAGAAGTGTCTTGAAAGCCATAAAGAACTTTGTATATTAAAGTAATTATGTATAAAAATGCAAGTGTTTCTGTATTTCTTGTCTAGTACATTAAAGTGCATTTTTCAGTGAATATGGAAGTGAAAATGTTCCTGGATTTTTCCAAAGAACTTTTTGTGAGAGAGACGGGCTTTGTTAACATTTTCTTCTGGTTCTCAAGTTTTGGCTAAACATTTGGCTACCCAGCTGAAGACCACATGTCTTCCTTCCCTTCTAGACAAGATAGACTGATCAAGCTCTAACCAAAGGGTTACATGCAGAAGTAATGTGTGCTGCCCCTGGCCATTTTCTTAGTATGTCTGATATGATCTTTTCCTCTTTCCCACTGGCTGAAATAAATATAGGAGCCAGTTTTAGTTTGCTGGCATGGCTATACTGCTGGACTTCTGTAGACTATTACACCACTAGACAACAGGATCTGTTAATTAAGGCATTGTATTTGGAAATCTTTCCGCCTTGGCAGCCTGACCAATGCATTTGTGTTCCAGTCCAAGCTCATCAATTTACAGGATGGTTGACCTAAGTCTCTGAACTTGCCCACATAGAGGTTTACAAGCTTCTCTGTCTACCACACATACAGAGAAGTCACACATCAAATTACATATAGTGACATTATCTGGAAAGCTGTACATGTGAAATTCATTCTGAGATTTTAGACTATAGAAATAATGGAAAATTGGAGACATTCATGTGAACTTTAGATGTGATTTATTATGACTGTTAAGAATTAAGTATGCTTTATCCAAGCACATATGTCAACAGAAATTGGAATATAAATTCATGTCAAGGTGACATATTTTCTGTTGCTATTAGTTGTCCCTGAGTTGGTGCTAACTCATAGTGACTTTACATAAAATGGAATGAAATGTTGCTTTGTTCTGTGTCATTTTTATGATTGTTGGTATATATGAATCCATTGTTGCAGGTACGTGAATACTTTCCAACCCAGTGGACTTATCATACATTACTTTATTGGACAACATTCCGTGTTCCATTAGTTTTCATTGGCTAACTCTCATAAGTAGATTGTCAAGGTTACCTTCCTAGTGTGTCTTGATCTAGAAGTTCCAATGAAACATGTTCACCATGGGTGACCTGTCTGGTATTTTTAAATACCTGTAAAATAACTTGCAGCATCAGAGCAGCATGCAAGCCCTGTACAATCAACTGAAAGAGAGGTGGTGTGGTATATCTCTACTCCAAAAAAATTCTCTCATTCTGTGTGTGTGTGTGTATGTTGTACATTTATCAAACAAAAACCTTCAACTCACTGTCGTCAAGTTGGAACTTCTCATAGCTGACCTTCCAGAAGATATTCAGAGGCTGAAATTTGCATGGGAGAGATGCCCATCTTTCTTCCACAGAGCCACAGCTGGATTTGAACTGCCACCTCTGCATTATCAGCATAATCCCCTAAACATTATGCCACCAGAGCTCCGCCTGCCAGTTGGTCCTATTATGGTAGTTTATGTGTTACTAGGATGTTGGAAGCTATGCCACTGGGACAGGAAGACCCTCAGATGTACCTCAACACAGAGATTGCAACAAGGGCATTTAAACGCAGTCAGTGGAGATTGTGGGAATGGGGTAGGATCAGACGTGGTTTCCAACTGTAGTACATGGGGTTGCTATGAATTGAAGTTGACTCCACACCAACTAACAATATCTATTGTTGTTAGATGCCATCAAGTTGACTATGACCTATAGTGATCCCAAGAATAGTAGCCCTGAACCCTGCCCTATCTTAAACCAGCCTTACTTTCTCTGAGACACTTGGCCCCATTGCCACAGTCACTGTGCAGCGTCGTCTTCTTCTGCACTGGTCCTCTACCCTTCATAGCATGATGTCCTTCTCCAAAGACTGGTCTCTCCTGGTCACATGTTTAAAGTTTGTGAGTCAGAGCTTCACAAGCCTTGCCTTCAAAGAGCAATCTGGTTTCACCCTCTCCAGGTCTATTCTCTTGACAGTCTATGGTATTTTCAGTACTCTTATCCAGCACCACAACTTAAAGGCCTCAATTTTTCTGTCATCTTTAGCCACTGTCCAGTTCTCAGATGCAAAGCCAGCAACTAAAAAGACCATGGCCTGAATCAGTAGCATCTTAGTCTTTAGACAGATATTGTTGCTCCTGTGCACTCTGGAGAGGTCCTTGACAGCACACTTTCCTAAAGCAACTTGGTTTTTTATACACATACTTAGGATCAACTGGCAATGAACTTTTAGTAATAATAACCACTTATCTCTGTGATATATTCCAACCACACTTATTTTCTTTCTACTCCTTGAACTGGCCATGCTCATTCCCATCTTGGGAACCCTGTTCATGCCTCCATCTCTTTGCCTGTGAATCACTGGCACATCACTGAGTAGCTGGTTTCTTGTTATTCTTTAGGTCTCAGCTCAAATGTCCTCTCACCAATCACGTGGTAGGTTTTCCCTTCAAGACATCTTTTAATATCTGACCCTGTTTCACTTTCGTCATGGAGTTTGTTACCACCCAAAACTACCTAGTCAATGAATGTTTCTTTTTTTTCTTCACCACCACTCAACTAGAGAAGAAGGTCTACAGATTAGGAACCTTGCTTGTCTAATGCCAACACTGTTTATCCAGGTACCTGGAGCTGTGCCTAGCAGAGCGCATCATTCAATGAAGCATACATTCTCCTCCTTTTACCACATATCATCCTTCCAAAAAGTAACATGAGCACAGTTAATTCCTTATTGTCTTTGCACTTCTAGAAAAGTAATACAAAGAGGAGAAGGATTGTAGAGGATGAAGAATCTGAGTATTGGAAAGCCAGGCATAGATAACTGGAAAGAGTGGACTAAGTAAGTAAAGTGTGACCTTAAATTGCATGAGTCTGTGTACAAAGTACATCACTCCTACTTGAAAGTTTTTGTAACCACATCTCTCTAATTTTGATTTTTTTTCAGCTTGTCTCAATAGAAGTCAATATTGACTATCTTATTTAGTTAATTTACATGCATTTTCATATGACTTACCAATGCATTCATAATTTTCTGTCCCCTCTCTTGTCCTTTTAATCTCCTTGATCTCTGCCCTAGGGACCTTTTGGCTTGGTTTTTCCCTTGACTCACACTTAATTGTTACCTGTCAGTTAGTGGAGTGATGACCAGCCGTGGACTGTTTCCTAAATATTCATAGAAGTACTGGAACCGAGCATCACAAATATTAACAAAGCAGTGTTTCTGGGTGTCATCCCACTGGTGACGAAGTTGAGACAGCCAAGCAAAAGCCTGAGGACTAACAACCTAAAATCAGTGCACAATCATTGTGTTAGTCTTGAAACAAGTTGCTGTTGTGTTGAATCTGATGTATGATGACCTATGCTTGTAGAATAGTACTGTACTGTATCGTTTTAAAGATCATGACGTTTTCCCAAGACAGCTCTAGATGTCTTCAAAACACCAACCTTTGAGAGAGTCATCAGACATCTAACCAATTTCACCAGCAAGGTATTCCTGTTACATATAGGATGTTGACAATTTTGAGCAGACAAATGTAATCTATTAATCTTATCAACTTCATTGGTTCACATTTTATATCTAAAATCCTCACCAACAAGAAATCTCTTGTATGTCACTACAAATTGTGACTGCATGCTGATGGCTGAACACCTAATCACAAATGCATGTGTAATAAAAGTCTTCTGTTCAAAAGAGCTTTTACTGTAAACAATATCAATTTGTTCAAGCAGTGCTTGGCTCCTTTTCTGGAGCACCCCAGGGGAATGCATAATTTTCATAACTTTGTCCTCATATTACTGAAATCAGATGGAAAAATGTGGCCTCGGTACTGAAATGACACATATTTCATATTTTCTGCCTGTTGGAGGTATAAATAAAACTGTATTTTCAACACAGCCTATTCTAAGATCAGTCTGCTTTCAGTACAGATATTTTCTACATCGTTAGTTTCTCCTACTTTTTAAATAATATCCATTTTTTTCTTCCAATACAAAAAACAAGCAGAGACAAACAAGCACAGTCTCTTTCAATATACATGCAAGCTCCAATTTCTTAGGAATCATTTGAAGTTGACAAAACCAATTTGTTCTACTGATGTGTCTGATAATTATCGTATAGGTTTCAACTTTGCATATTTATATATTTTAAATATCAAGAATTATTATA